GCCGGGCGAAGACGTACGGCACAGTCGACTCGGGGGCTCGTACGAGGGGCGGGTGCGCTCCAAAGTGGGGGGCAGGGGGGGTTGGCGTTGCTGCATCTCTTCCCCCCTTCCTCCTCCTCCTCCGCGGTCAGCTGCTGCGTCGTCCAGTCCCCCTCCCCCTCGGCTGGGAGGCGGGCGCTGTTCAGGACGGCGGGCGTTGAGCCCTTGGCCTCCCTCCACCTCCACCTCCGCCCCCACATCTCAGGTCTGCGGCCCTGGTGCGTACGGTCGGACTGGGGTATAAGCTCGAGGTCGGTTCGGAGAGGGTGCCCTAGTGTACTTCGTGCTTGTTGGATGTTCTTGTGCATTCTGGGGAGGGTACCCTCGAATGCTCCTCATGTTGGCTGGCGGAGGGTTTCATGTTCTTCAAAGATGTTATTCTGGCCTAGGTCCGGCTGTGTTCCAAAGGGAAGTTTCATCACGCCAATTGCCTCCAGCTTGGCTTTCAGAATTTCAGGGCCCACTGCTGTGCGGTTTTGACAATGAGCGAGTGCAGTACTCACTGGACAACCAGACGTCATAGCGTCAAGGGAGTGCGCATGGTATCCACATCTGTGCTGTTTTTCGTTAAATTCGGGGACTGTCCATCATAACTGTCCCCTACGTAATGCCCTCCCCTCAGGCCGCGTCCACTCCTTTCTGAGCCCCCGATCGACGACGGCGGCGGCGGCGGCGGCGGCGACGACGACGACGACGACGACGACCGCGACGCTGGACAGCGATGGCGACGACGCCAGACGGTGAAGACGAATCCGCACTGGCGTCGCACTCTGTCTGTTTCTCGTGATGTGGGGACCCCGGGGATGTTGGCCCATTCCCCATGGACGGCTTTCCAGCCCTAGCCGTTTCCTGACGGCCCCTCGGACCATGAAGACGGCCGCGAGGCCGAAGCCAGCGGCAGACCAGCCGTCGTGCTTTCTGTTGCGATGCCTAGGTGCCCCGACCTGAGGGGTGCCATCGATGACCCACACATCCGATGTTGTACTGCGAAGGACTTGCGGCCGGTGCTGCCGACCATGAAGGGAGCCCACGGGGAGGGGTTCAAAGGGAAGGGGCTTCCCTTCGACTCGATTACGACGTTTCTCGTTTTCTGTTTGCTGGGGCGCTTGATGAGACGAGCCCACGGACAGGGACAGGGGGGAGCGGTGAAGGCGACGACGACGACGACGATGACACGTCGGCGACGATGATAATGACGACGACGACTCAAAGGGGGGAAAAACTCTCACACACGCCGACAGGGTTGGCGGATTTTTTTGTCGCGATGCAAGGTCCTGGAAAAGTCCCGACCCTTCCCTCAGGACCGGTTTCTCGTCACGAGTCGTTTTTCGACTGCTTTGGGTCCTGGAGACAGTTTTCCGCAGGCCGAAACGGCGAAACCATTCTGCCTTGTTTTTCTCAAGGCGTTGGATGTTTTTTCGGATTTTATCCCGGACTTCTTGCGGAAAATGCGGGGCGATATAGGCAACCTTGGAACGCTTTCGGCGAGGCGCAGCTGCAGGAACGTACCCTGGGCTTGGAAAGCCTTGAAAGCGCCCCGAAAACCTCGAACGACGTACTCGTCGCTATCGGCCACGACGGGGACCTTCAAACTCGCTCGCGCTCCGGCCAGAATCTGAAGGCGGATCTCTCGGATCTACCTTGAGGGAATGTCCTGAAGAGGGCATTTTTTACAATGCGTTGTTCGTCCGCCGCCGTCGCCTTGGCTCAAGGCGGCGCCGCCCTATCCGCCTACGCGGTTGGCGTTGCCAGTTGCGTGTCATTTAAGGCGCTGGGTAGGAGAGAAGGCTGTTTTGATATCCCATCGCCACCACCATCGTACCCGGTACTTCTTAGATGAACGGTCCCCATAGAATGGCGACAGCTGTTCAAACATGGTAGCGGAGTTGTCGCACCCGCGGCAGCTCCAGTCGCGTCCGCCGTTGGCGGCACCATGGTGGACGGTTTCCTGGACTTCAACCTCATCGGTACCTACCACTACGCGACCGCTGCGCCCCCGCCAGCATCAACCCTGGCTGCATGCGCGCGAGGAGATTCGACCAGGTATTACTTTTCCCGCGGCCGCCCATCAGATGCGTACATACGCTCGACGATGTGGCGTCGGCGTCTTAGAGCCTCCAGCAGTCCGTCGCGGTCCTGCTGGGCCCTGGGCACCATGCCACTGAGCGGCTGGAGAAGCGACGACACTTCGCGCGGCGTGATTCGAAAAAACACGCACCAATGTTGCAACTAATGCCGACAATGGGTCAAGCCCAAAGCCGACCGCGTTTGCTTCCATCCATGCGATTTCCCACTCGGCCAAGACACGGTCAATCCTTGCATTGCTGTGGACGCGGAAGTCCATAAGTTCTATTCCGTGTTGTAGTGCGCGCTCGTATTCCAGGTCGTCGAACCTATGTGCCAGGTACTGCAATGAACATGTCGCTGAGTCGGTTCGATCACTGTTGACTTCGACTCTGAAGGTCATGGCCGCTGATGGCTTCCGCATGGCGGCGCTTCCCGAGAAGCCTTGGCGGCTTCGCTGGAGTGCAGCCGCCTGTTTGGCTGGCGCCATTCGCCTAGAGTGGGCGTCGAGCCACCGCGTGCCTCGCGAGTCCATGCGCGGCAAGGTATGTTCCCAGCCCAGTCCCATGAGGGATCGCTGGTTTGGCCCCCCTCCCCCTGGCGACCGCGCCCGGCGTTCGGGGCCGCGGGCGTTTGCGGCGAGCGCGGGATTGCAGCGGCGCCCGCCCAGGACACCCCGAGCGCATCTTGCGCGTCGAGCCCCGAACGATAGATCGCGCGCCTTCGTGGGCGCGCCTCCGAACGAGCTACTTTTAGCCCGGGAGCGACCGATGCGCGGTCGGCCACTCTGCCGATTGGAACTTGCGCGCCTTCGGTGCCAGCGGGTGCTTGGAGAAGACAGCGCCCTGTAATGTTCTGTGGGCTGTCGCATCTGCGCTTGTGCAACCGCAGTCGGCTGCGGCGCGTCGCCCCCCCCGCCCCTTGCCGCCCCGGGTCGGGCATCTGTCGCGCTCGAGAATCTGCGGGGCCGCCCCGGGGTTGCGCGCTCAGAACATCGTCGCGCCCGCGAGGCCAGGCCCCAGCTCCAAACGCGGGAAACGTGGGCCCGATGCAGCTGCGAGTGGCTTTCGCGTAAATACGAGCTTGGGGGGCAAGCGCGCGAACCGAATGTCTTTGGTGAATTCGCGGATGTCGTCCATGCCGATGAACGCGAGGCGCCCCAGTTCGCGCGCCTCTGCGACGACGCCTGCGACCTGCGCGCCGACGAAGCAATTCAAACGCATTGCATTGGGGCCGGGATTTGTTGGCGAGTGGTCGTCGGAGCTAATCTCTCGGCCGTTCCGACGCGGCATCACCAGTAATCGCAGTCGGCGAGAGTGGCGATTCAGAACGTTGAGCCCGACCGAGGGTGGGATGGATGCGCTTGGAGTGGCCTGGCATCCGTCAACGGAGGGGCCGCTGCCCACGCGTGATCACGTGGCTTCAGGTTTCCACGGCGGGCCAGCAAGCCTGCGTTCTCGAATGCGTGGCCCAGGGCCACGACAAGGACCGACTGGGATACCGTGTCGCGCGAGGCCCTGAGGGCAGCGGCGATTTGAAACGCGGCTCAGGCGGCCGTCGGGCGGGGCCGCCCCGCCAAGTGCCGCCCGCCCTGCGAAAGAGAGTTCAGGGGGGGATTCGCGGCTTTATCCAGGTCTGCAATTTTCGTCGGTTTCGAGGAGTTGCGGACGGGCGGCGCGCGAGTACTGCACTTCAAATTGGAGTCGTGCTTTCGCATTGTAAGCGTGGTGTTGTGCCGAATAAGGACGCAGAGTGCTGGGTGCGGATGGCGCAGTTCAACCCGCGGCGCGCATGCGCGCGTCTGGCTGACGGACCCTTGGAGGGGAGAGGGGCCATTGAGAGGGCTGGGCAAGATCGACGGAGGAAGAACGTGATATCCTGCACCACCGACGCCCGTTCGCATTGCCTCCAGGGCGACCGGCGCGCGATCCACCAGGGGCAGCGCCGCCGTCTGGGCGACCGCCAGCGGCGCCATGATGTCCGACGCCACCGCCAGGACCGACGACGCGTGCGAGAAGGCGGTCTCCAACGCGAAGTCACGACGACGTCGTTGCAGACACTTCCATGGTCGACTCCTGCGAGCTCGTGCCAGAGACGTAAGGGCGACCGGCCATGGCGCCCTCGGCGTCACCTCATCGAGCGTCTGAGTCAGGAGACCTGCTGACGAGGCGAGACCCGAGGAACGCTGGGCGCCCGAGCCTTCTAGGAGGAGCAAGGTCAAATCCGACAGGCGCGGCTGGATGTGCGAACGGGCGCAAAGGCCGCCAGCGGTGCGAGCGGCCAATCTAACGATCGCGCCCGGCGTCTGCCACCGACTTCTGCGCGCGCCTTCAGCGGCTGCTGGCCATGAAGACGTGGCCGGGCCGACGAACGCTGACTACGACGCGAGGGCGTCGATGGCGCGTGCCGAAGAGACTGAATCGCCGAGCGACCGAAAAAGCCGACGAGATGCAGTCGCGCCGGCGCCGTCAGTGGAGCACAAGAGGCCGCGGAGGCGCTGCGCCAGCAGGGTCTGCCGATCTCGGCAGACGGTTGGACTCCGCCGGGCGCTTGGGCCCCAAACGCTGCCGTCGACGATCGCGCGCCATGAGGGCATGCGAAGTTTGCGCGCCCAAGCTTCATCGATCTCCAACGCCATACTCGACAACCTTCAGATCCGCCGGCCTAGACGACCTCGAGACTTCAGCTGCCTGGCGGCCCCCCGTCAACGTTGGTAAACTTGGTTTTGCCACCATCGCGTGGGCGACCTGGCCCTCGCGAGCGAGTTCGACGCCGTGATCGCCGAGTAGGGATTATCGACAGCATTATTTGTAATTGCGAACCAGATGAATGTGAATGGTGTTGGTCAGGGTTCAGCGCCTGGTAGCGATGCGGCTGGCGTGCCAAATTCTGTGAAC